CCCAACCCCAAGATGGGCGAGTTCTGGAGCGACGTGGCCATTGATCGGCGCCGGAGAAACTCGCCCTGGCCTTTGAGTTTGTCACCATCTAATTCTGAATTTTTTGTTGATTTCAGTTTTCAGCTCGTATTTACTTATTTTTTAAAAATTTCTTGAAATTATGGATTAAATTTATTTAGAGTATTTTTTTATTTAAAAATTTGATTAATATGTATAAATATAAGTTAAATGTGTATTAATTATATTTTTTATATTTAACAACTATAAAAGAGTTGGAAAAATTGTCACTGGCTTTTTTCATTATTCAACTTGTCACTTAAAAAAAATGAAAAAACTGAACTAGCAATCAATCAAAAGCAAGAAATCTAAGGTAACCAAATTGTGCACCAACAGAGAAATCTAAAATTGAAGATATAGATAGGTAATGTACCTGCCACAAGTTTAGCAAAAGGAATCGAAGAACGTTGGCCACTGGAACCAAAATTAGGCCAAGCAAATTAGAATACGCAATAGATTTGCAAATCTGCAATTGCAAGCTTAATTCTGTTGTTCAGAGGGGTTGATGGATATTTCCTGAAGAATAGCATATGATTCCAATATGATCACTTGGAAGACATGTCTACATGCACTTTGAGTATAAAAAAAAAAAAAGAATTTTCTAGATTAATAAAGTAGCTTAGCTTCTAATTAAGGTAAATATAAACAATTTAAAAATAAAGAATTTAATTGAAAAAAAGCATCTTTACTAATAAGATCATCTGATTCGCAACAAAACTGAAACGTTTTCATTATATATATATATATATGTACTCTAAAGAGGACAAAACAAAATCAAGATTGAAGAACTAAATAGATAGTATACCTGCAGGATTAGCACAAGAAATTAAAGGAAGTTGAGACACAAGGGCCAAGCAAAAGTTAGAAGTAGCTTAATTGCGCGATTGCAGAGGCTGAACTTTCTTTCTGATTAGAAGAGTTGAGCCAGCCATCGATCAGAGAGAATATAAAGTGGGCAAGCCAATGAGAGAGTCAAGAGGATATTTCTTGGAAGATGCATAGCAGATACTAGTGAAATCAAGGGTTAATGCCGACTGTCATTTCTCTTCAAAATTCCCCTTTTTGAGCTGGCCAGCACAATTAAACTCTGCAAAAAAAAGGGGGAATGGTGTTGAGAGAGCAAAGATAGTAGCAGCAACTGGACTAAAAATAGGATGAAATGTTGACGAAGAATCTGCAAATAAAACGTAATCACTTAATTACCAGATCTGATCCCAAAATGCTTAGCCACACAGAAAGATAGCAAACGCAAGAGAATCCTGAGAGACAAACAGAGATGGTGTTTGTGAGAAAACTGAGCGCAGATGAGGAGGAATTGAAATGCAGCCCTGTTTTTATAGACCCTAGACACCACCGTAGGTATAAGCGCGTATGGATTTCTGCTTAGTCAATGCAATTATGTTTCTGTGATGTTTCCTATTTGCTTTTTGCTTTTTCCTACATTTGCTTAGCCAATGCTTCGCTTTTCCTGCTTTCTGCCACAATGTGAATAATTGACTAAAGCCAACTGTCCCATTTCTTTGAAAGTTCCAGTTCATCTTTTCTATTCTTTACAAAGTTTAAGTGAATTTCTTACCCATTTCATCGTCACCTCTTTTGCTCTTTTTCTACGGTAAGTGAATAAAATTTTCCCTGATGCCTTCTTTTGCTGGAGGTAAGTTTCTGGGCAATGGAATTTCCTGTTCCTTTGTTTTTCCTTCTATTACTTTCTAAATGGTAAATTAATAGAATGTTTCCACAATATCTCCTTTTTATATTGAGAAATTATAACCATCATTTTCAAAAGGGATTAGTCTTTACATATTTATGTCATTCTTTTTAAAATTAGGATAAAAATCATACTAAAAAAATATCATTTAAATAAAATATCACAATTAAAAACAAAAAACAACTTAATCCATGTTATAAAAATATGGTTTTTAATACTTTTCAATAAAATTTTATTAAAATAATGTAATATATTTCACTCTTCCCTTTTTTAAGTATAAAAATTAACATTTTTTTTACT